GTAGGTTGGGGAAGAGGGAGAGGGCTGTGTGTGCTGCTACACCCCCCTTCGCCTCCTCTGGACATTTCTCTGAGGGGAGAAACGGGCGCTTGAGTATTTCAGTGCGTCTACAACCCGATTTTCTGGTGGGTTGGTGGTGGCTGGTGCTTGGTGCGCATGTGAGTACGTGGGGGAAAGGGGAATGAGCTGTGTGTATGCGTCTGCATCCCCTTGTTGCTTCTCTGGACGTTCTTTTATGGGAGAATCAAGGGCTCTTGAGTTCCCAGCAACCCATTTTCTGGTAGGTTGGTGGTGTTCGGTGTTTGGTGCTCGTGTGAGTACTGTGAAAGTAGCAAATTGAACAAGTGATCAGATTAGAGGAACAACCTAGCATACATAGTTGGAAGGGAAGGTTGGAAGGGAAGGATGAAAGTGACCATAGGTTGGGTTGACCTCACTTGGGGAAGTGAGGGAACCATAGGTCAAGTGGGTTGGGTTGCCCACACTTTGTAGAAATGAGGCAACCCTAGGCCCACTTGGCTTGGGGTAACCTCAATTGTGGGAAGTGAGGTACCCACAAGTCAAGAGGGTTGCATTTGGGGGCTCCACCACAATTGGGTGGATTGGCACCCCAAAGTGCAAGACTACACCCAAAGTTGGGTGTAGTCCCAACCCAACTGTACACCACAATTGGTGTACAGTCACATGTGTTGGCATGCTACACAATATATATTTTAACACAACCCCTTAGCATGCTAACACAAGAAGAGAACAACCCCTGAATCAAGGGGCGCCCGGGCGAGCAAGGCCAATGAGGCGGAGGAAGGCAGAGTGCGCGGGGCGAAGGAGGGCCTTAGTGAAGATGTCGGCCAAGTTGGCCTCGGTTGCAATCTTGCGAACGGCAATGAGGCCCTTCTGGACGAGCTCGCGAACGAAGAAGTAGCGGAGTTCGATGTGCTTGGAGCGGGCGTGATAGACGGGGTCCTGAGTGAGATGGATGGTGCTGGCGTTGTCGCACCAGAAAGTGGGGCACGTCTGGGGGGCGCCAAGCTCCGCAAGAAGGAAGCAGAGCCAGCGCGACTCCTGGGCGGCCATGGTGCCAGCGTAGAGCTCGGCTTCGCAGGTGGAGAGAGAGATGGCGGAGGAGCGGGTGGAGCGCCAGCTGATGAGGCCGCTGCCAAGGGTGAAGCCGTAGCCCTGGGAGGAGCGGCGGTCCGGCTGCGTGTCAGCCCATGAGGAGTCACTGAAGCTCGAGAGAAGGGGACGGGAAGGGCCGCCGAGGGTGAGGGCAAGGTCCCTGGTCCCGCGAAGGTAGCGGAGGACCCGCTTGGCAGCTTTCCAGTGCTCCTCAGAGTGACGACCGGTGCCGACAAAGCGAGCGAGCACGCTGATGGGGTAGGCGAGGTCGGGGCGGGTGCACATCATTGCGTACATCAAGGACCCAACGAGCTCGGCATAGGGGTGGGGGGAGGAGGTGGGGGAGGTGGGTGGAGCGAGTTGGTGACCGAAGGGGAGCGGGGTGGAAACAGGCTTGGCTTGCGCCATGTCGAACTTCTCCAAGACCTGGCCGATGTAATGGGACTGGGAGAGGGTGATTGTGCGAGCAGGGCGGTTGCGCGTGATGGTCATGCCGAGGTAGTGAGTGAGGGCGCCAAGGTCTTTGCACTTGAGCCGCTGCTGCAGGGACAGCTTCACCTGCCCCATGTCGGCCTTGGTGTCAGAGAGCAGGATCATGTCGTCGACATATACCAGAATGAAGAAGCGGCGGGGGGAGGAGCGGATGAAGAGGCTGGCGTCGGAGTGGGAAGCAGAGAAGCCGAGGGACCCCAAGGTGGCAGCCAGCTTCGCATGCCACTCACGCGGTGCCTGCTTCAAGCCGTAGACGGGGCGACGCAGCTGCCAGACAGTGTTCTCAGGAAAGGCTGCGTGGAACCCGGGGGGTCGCCGGAGGAAAATGCGCTCATGCAGGTCGCCCTGCAGGAACGCATTGGAGACGTCCATGGAGTCGATTTCCATGTCGTCACGTGCACCAATGTCCATGGCGGCGCGAAGGGTGGGTGGTTTGGCGGTGGGGGCGTAGGTGAACCAGTAGTCCTCAGCCCAAGTCTGCGTGAACCCCTTGGCGCAGTAGCGGGCCTTGTACACTGGTTCCTCGCCCGGCAGCTGCTTCACCCGAAAGACCCATTTGCCGTCAACGAGATTAGCGCCAGCAGGGAGGGGGACATCGACAAAGGAGTCGTTGCGAATGAAAGCCTCACACTCCAGGAAGATCGCTGCTATCCATTTATCCGCATCAGGGCAGGTGATGGCTTCCTGGAAGGTGGAGGGAGTGAAGATGGTGGGGGTAGTAGTGGCGCCAAGGACAGGAAAGCCCAGGAAGTCAAGTTAGAGGGCGGCAAGGAATGGAGTGTGCTCCCGAATGTTGAGGAACTCCTCATGGGAGTCCTCAAGGAGCTGAATGGAGGCAGGAGGAGGAGCCCCAAGGATTTTGTCCACCGAGCGGGTATGGATGTAAGGGAGGAGGAAGGGGGAGGAGCGGGAAGTGGCACGGCGCCGCTGCTGCTGCTGGTGCTGCTGCTGCTGATGCTGCTGCTGCTGCTGCTGTCCCGGCTGCTGCTGATGCGGCTGCCCCGGCTGCTGCTGCTGCTGCTGCTGCTCCGGCTGCTGCTGCTGCTGCTGCTGCTGCTGCTGCCCCTGCTGCCGTTGCTGGTGTTGCTCCCGCTGCTGCTGCTGCTGCTGCTGCTGCTGGTGCTGATGCTGCCCCTGCTGTTGCTGATCCGGCTGCTGCTGCTGCTGCTGCCCCTGCTGTTGCTGATCCGGCTGCTGGAAAGGAGGAGAATGAGAGGAGGAGGGAGAGGGGGGAGGGGGTGCAGCTGAGTGAGCGGGGGAGGCGGGTGCGGCAAGGTCGTAGACGTCGGCAGAGGAGGAAGGCGGGAGTGGGGCGGCGACAGGTGGGAGGAGAGGCGCTGGAGGGATAAGAGGCGGGAGGATGGTGTCGGTCCAAGCGAGGGGGCGAGTGGGAGGAGGGAGGGGGTCAGGAGGAGGGGTGGAGTAGTAGGGAGTGGACTCGTCGAAGACGACGTCAATGCTGCGGATGAGGCGATTGGTGGGAGGGTGGAGGAATAGGTAGCCTGGGGAATCACGATTGTGCCCAAGGTAGACGCACTCCAGAGCGCGAGGAGCGAGCTTGCCAGCAGCGCGGGAGCGGTCGGCCGGTGGAATGAGGACGAACGCCTTGCAGCCCCAAACACGAAGGCCTGCGGCGTCAGGCTTGGCCTTGGACCAGAGTTCTGTGGGGGAGGAGGAGGGATGCTGAGGGTGGGAGCGGAGATTGAGGAGGAGGGCGGCATGAATGAGGGCATAGCTCCAGAGGGAGGGAGGGGTGGAGGCGTGAGCAATGAGGCAGCGCGCAATCTTGGTGATCTCACGGATGCGACTCTCAGCGATGCCGTTTTGCTGAGGGGAGTGGGGAAGGGTGGTGATCTGCTGAATGCCGTATGTTTTGCAGTAAGTGGAGAGAGTATGATTGATGAACTCACCCCCACCGTCAGAGTGAAGGCGGCCTATGGGACGTTTGAAGTGGTTGCGGCACTGCTCAGCCCAGTTGATGACCACAGCCGGCACCTGGTCTTTCGTGTGAAGAAAGAAGACGGTGGAGTACCGACTGTGGTCGTCGACGAGCACGAGCATGTACCTGTGCCCCTGACGGGAGCGGATGGGATAAGGGCCCCAGAGATCCATGTGAACAAGGTCAATGGGGGCGGGAGCGAAGGTGGGATGAGTGTGATGGGGGGACTGTTTGAGCTTGCCATGAATGCATGATGGGCATGGGGGAGCAGGGGAGGAGGGGAGGGGAGGTAAGGTGGGAGGAAGGCTGTTAAGGAGGCGAGAGGTGACGGTGGAGCGAAGTGCGGCGAAGTTGGGATGGCCGAGTCTGTGATGTAGGAGCACTGCAGGATGGGAGAGGGCAGTAGAGGAGGAGGGGGATGGGGTGGGGGAAAAGTTGGGGGGGGAGGAGGAGGCGGATGGAGTAGAGGAGGAGGATATCGGAGGAGGGGGAGGGGGAGGGTGAGGGGGAGGGAGAAGGGGACCGGTGGAAGTACCAGCACGAGTGGTGACGTGACAAAAGGAGGGACGGGGTGTGCGGAGCGTGTAAAGGCGAGTGCGAGGGCAAAGGGGAATGCGCAGGAGGAAACGACCAGAGGCGGTGTGGTAGAGATCGCAGTAGGAAGCAAAGCCAGGGTATATGGCGGTAATGCCAACGCCTTGGAGTTCACGGTGGGAGAGGAGGTTATTGCGAAGGGTAGGGATGTGGAGACCGGTGACTGTACCGGATGGGAAGGCGGTGCAAGGAAGGGTGGAGAGGTGAGTGCAGGGGATGGAAAAGCTGGAGTCGGCACCATGAACCTGGGTGGGAAGTGGAAGGGGGGTGAGGGTGCCAGCGTCTTTTAGTGCGGTTTCGGTGGCCCCACTGTCAAGGACAAAGTCCAGGGTGGGGGGGGGAAGGAGAGGGAGGGAACACAGAGTACTGGAGAGTTGTTTCATGGATAGAAGAGGGAGAGAGCGGCGGGTGCTGCTGCTGCGGCTGCTGCGGTGGGAGAGACTGTGACGGTTGCGGCTGGAGAGATTGGGCTGCTGCTGCTGCTGGAAGCACCGCCGATGCTGCCGCGGTTGCTGCGGCTGGAGAGATTGTGGTGGCTGCTGCTGCTGGAAGCACTGCTGCTGCTGCGGATGGAGAGAACTGTGGCTGGTGCTGCTGCTGGAAGCACTGCTGCTGCTGCGACTGAAGAAACTGTGGCTGCCGCTGCTGCTGGAAGGACTGCTGCTGCTGCGGCGGAAGGAACTGTGGCAGCTGCTGCTGCTGCTGGAAGCACTGCTGCTGCTGCGGCTGAAGAGACTGTGGCTGCTGCTGCTGCAGGAAGGACTGCTGCTGCTGCGGTGGAAGGAACTGTGGCAGCTGCTGCTGCTGGAAGGACTGCCGCTGCTGCGGCTGGAAGGACTGCTGCTGCTGGGGATGGAGA